CTCAGCGAGCTTAGAGGAGAGCCTGCGGAGGCCTGAACCGGCTCTCGGGACTAGGGGGAGTGGGCAGTGTTCCCAGCCCTGGCTGTCAGAGGTTCCTCGTGGGGGGCAGCATAAAACCAAGGGCGATCTGGGGGTCCCTTGGTAGGGGAGGGTCAGGCTCTGGTTGCTTTCTGCTCTTTGGAGCCCCTAGGTGTGTCTGTGCGTCTGGGGTCGAGAACCCCTGGGGCAGCAGAAGGTCGCAGCCAGGAGGCCTAGTCCTATACTAAGCGAGTCTCTCGGCCCTTTCTAGAAAATTCCCTGCTGTAAGGAACTGGTGGGAATGCAGATGTTCTCATTGCACAGAACATCTGGACCACAAGTACCTGGACACACTGGACCCTCCCCACAATCCTGCCAGGTGCATGCTGGAGGCCCGTCTTGCAGGTGAGGTGTCCTGGGGAACCCAGGGCCCTGCCTCTACCCCGTATGCTTGCCTCCCAGAAGGTGCCCTGGCTCTGGACCTTCACCCTGGGGACCCCACGCCACACCATGGGCTCCTCCCTCCCCAGGTGGCTGAGCCCTGCCCCGCCCACACCTCGTTCAGCTTGTCCCCGATGAAGTGGGCGGCCACATGGGCGGGCAGGACGTTCTCCAGGAGCAGGCGGTTCACGTTCTCCATGGTCTCGAACTCCTCGTGCTCCTTCTTGAACTTCTTCTTCCACAGACAGTCCAAGCGGCAGTAATAGTCGATCTGCAAACAGTGGGAACATCGGCGGCGGCCCAGCCCGTCCACAGGTGAGCCAGGGCAGCCCACCCATGCCCATAAGTGCGTCTCTAGGAAATTTGGTGTCCCCTGTGCCCTGGGGAGGTGAGGACACTGACTTGGAACCCCAGCCCAAGGACAGCGCTTTCATGACAGGCCCCTGCTGCCCTCTGTGTGCTCCGATCCGAGCACCCCCACACCCCGTGCCTATCCAAGCTGAGGCGGCGGCCATGTCAGAGCGAGGCGGCCAGGGTGCAGGCATGTCCTCGGCTGTACCTGTCTGGAGAGCATGAGCAGGGTGACATAGAACAGGGCCAGGTAGAAGCTGACCATGGTCTTCAGATCCCTCCAGAAACAGTCGGAGGCACTGCGGGCAGGAGGAGGGACAGTCACTCCCAGCTCCTGCTGTCCCACACGCAGGAGCATGTAGCCACCCTTCTGCCCAGGAAGGGAGCGGCCACGGGCCTGCACTGAGTCACATTCCTCCACACTGGGGCCTTCTGTAAGGTGGGAACCACGTGCCTGCGTGTCCCACCCACACAGTGCCCTGTAGACAGGGCAGAGGCCCAGTGGCCCAGCAGAGGCAGCAGCAGGGTCGGAGCTACTCTGGGCCTACCTGAGGGTGCCGTTGGTCCCGGTGAGATTGCTCAGGCTGTGGCTGCAGCAGTCGCCCTGCCAACATGTGTAGACGTGGAATAGCACCAGGTCGGCCACCAGGGCCACTGTCAACAGCACGACCTTCAGCTCCAGGCTCATCCGCAGGAAGACAGAGCAGGACATGAGGCCCAGGATGCAGCTGCAGGTGTAATACTGGGTGGCGAAGTCACCCCACCATCTCCTGTCACAAAGCGGAGCTTCCAGGCCCGCAGCCACCCAGGGGAGGGGGAGCGCTAACACGCACTGACTCCAGGGTTTCATCTTCCTTTCTTTTCTTTTCTTTTTTTTTTTTTTTTAGAGAGATTTTTGCTATAGGGCACATGTGCTCACCGGAGAGACACAGAAAGACAGAGAGACAAAAAGTGAGAAATCACCCCCTGGGGGGGATGGCCACACCACAATCCCTTCTCTTCCATCCTCCTCTCAGCATTCTGGGCACACGCACAAGCCCCCGGCCTAAGTTTTAAGCCACCAGGTCCTGGGTCTTGAACTGCAGTCGACTACGTGGGAGTTCAGTGTCGTAACCGTTACACCATCTGCTGGTCTCTCCTCCCGGGGTCTCTTTCCACAGGAAGTGCTTGGGCAGTGCCTCTGCGTTTCAGCATCACCCTCCTTCCCGGCCAGCAAGGCACCTGCAACAGAATCTGAACTCCCCAGGGTGACGTTTCCACTAGAGCGCTACTTCTTATGGTGACAGAGCTCCCATAAAGAAAAAACAGAGCCAGTGAAAATGCAGGTGCTGGGGAACAGCAGGTGGCGTGGTGGTTAAGGTCCTGGACTCCCACATGGCCAACAACGGTTCGAGTCCCAGACTTGGTGGCTTGAAAATCACACGGGGTGCATGTGCGTGTATGCCCAAAAGCCCAAGAGGAGAATAGAGGAGAAGGGTTGGGGCATGGCCCCGAGGGGTGATTTCTCATGTTCCATCTCTGTCTCTTGCCAGTGACTACATGGGCCCTATGGCAGAAGCATCATAAAACAACCAAACGAACAAAATGGTGCTGTATGGACAGACAACCAGGGCAGCGGCACGTGCACGCCTGACAGGCTCCCTGCTCCCCAGGGTCTGCCGTGGGCTGGCCTTTCCCAAGGCGCACCCTGCCCACGTTACTCTCCTGCTCAAGATCATGCTGTGGCTCCCCACTGCCCCTTCACCCTGGCATTCCCACTCCACGTGGTGTGGGAAACCAAGCCTGCATATCTGGGCTCATCTCCTAGTTCCTTCCCATTCCCTCCCCAGGACACAAACGGCCTGAGACCCTGAGGCTCCCACCACCAGCCTCAGCTTTTCCTCACATGGTCCCCTCTGCATTCCCATCCAGGAATCTTTCTGCCCTTTGAAGACCAGCTCAAGCTCCACTCCCACCCCCAGAGTCCCCCTGTGCCCCTCTAGGCTGCTCCAGGCATGGGCCTGGCTTCTGAGTCAGCTGCCTGTGGTCTGTCTGGCCTCGCTTCCTTGCAACTATGGGCCTGCCCTGGAGGCAGTGACTGGAGATGCATGCTAGGGTGACAGCTGCTCCCTCCCTCCCTGTCTCAACCAGGCAGCAAGCCCTGCCTCCCCCGCGTGCCCCAGGCCTCTCTGGGCCCTGGCCTCTCCGCCCTCCTGGGGAGCTCGCACCCTCTGGCAGGTGAAGACAGGGCTGGCCCTTACAGCCCAAAGAGCTGGGTCTGCCCAGGCGACACTCACCGGGAGCAGGTTGCACGGGGAACTTGCCCCGCTGCGCGTCTCGTTGCCTCCTGGTAGTGCCAGGGCTGGGAATGGCATCACTGGCTGCAGAGGAGACAGGTCCCCGTTAGGGTGGGCCCAAGGGACGGGGACTCTGGGACCTGCTGGGGCCGAGCGAAGCGGGCCAAGGGTGTGAGCGTCATGGGCAGCCTGGACTCCTAAAAGCACCCCAGCAGCTGTGCCTGACTCCCCAGCACCCATCGGACACGCAGTGCTAGGGGGCTGGAGGACCGAGGGCAGCCGTGGGCAGCAGCTGACTGGGAGGAAGGGGAGGTTGGACCCGCAGTTTGGCTTCAATGAGTCCTTTCTGCCCAGGAGCCCGGGAGGAGCTGTCAGAGCAGCACTGAAACAAGAGCACTGTAGAAGAGACCGGGCTGCAGGTGAGGGGCTGGACGGAGGCAGGGTCACAGGCACCGGGCCGGAAACGGAGGCTCAGAGAGGGTGAGCCAGGACCTTTGGGGGCGCGGGATAGGGGAATAGGTTGTTGGGACATCATGTCCCTATGGGGCTGTCCACGTGAGCTCTCGGGACACCCAGAGTCCCCGTCTGAAAAACAGGTGAGGGGCTCTAAGCCTGCAGTGGGGGGTCCTCTCAGGGCCTTCCCCACCCCCAGCTCTGGCAAGGGTTAAACTAGATGCAGCTTTTAAGGCATCAAGATGGTGAGACTCTGGAGCCCAGAGGTCCCCAGGGTCTAAGACAGCTCCTGGCACCCCAGGCAGTAGGGGTCCCTCATCCGCCATGCCTCCAGACTGACCAGGTTGACGACGGTGACGGTGAGCAGGCTCCCGATCGTCAGCACCACCAGGGTCAGCCTCAGCAGGGGCTGCGTCTCCACCCTCTCAGAGATGGCCCGGAGCACCCCCCGTGCGGGGCAGCATCGCTGTAGAGTGACAGGGGCATGTCAGCCAGAGTGGCATGGGAACTAGGAGGGATAGCTGCCAGCAGGTCTGGGGAAGTAGACCCTCAGGAGAAGCTTCCAGAGCTCTGCAGACTCGGAGCAAGAGGTGGGCGCCCAGCCCAAGGTGAAGCTTCCTGGCAGGAGGAGCCCCAGGTAGAGAGGGAGGGCCGAGGGCTGGACCGACCCGCTCACCAGGAACTCAGTGGCAAAACACAGGCCGAGCACCAGCCCCAGCGCGCAGGCCGCCAGCCCGAAGGACACTCCCAGAGCCGTCGTCCTGCAGGGGAAGGAAAGGCCATGTCTGGGGAACCGTTCAACCAGGACCTCTCCCACAGCCCCTGTTCCCCAACTCAGGCCACCTGCCTCCTCCCCACCAGCAAGGGGCCCTCTGAACACTGCAGTCTAGCTGTCCAGTAATAACACACAGGCCTGGCCCCACTCCAGCCCCAGGGTCCAGCATGTAGGAATGAGAACATCACGGGTCTCTACACGCGTGTCTGGCCTGTGAGAATGACATGAGAGCATTCCCAATGTTCCCTTACAAGACGCCCAAACCTGCAGTAGATCCTCCAGCCTAACTGTCCTTCTAGAAGCCACCAAGCCCCTCCCTCTGACCTCACCAACCTTGTCTTCACCCCCACCTACAGGGCCCTGGGGACAGAGCTTGAATCTTAGGGGTTGGGGGCTCAGGCCATACCACCCTGGATGAGACCTCAGGTCTCTGAGCCTCAACTTCCCCACACGTAGTGGAGCGCAAAAGCCCAGATCTCGGAGCCTGCCCTCAGTGACCAACATCTAAGGTAAGGGAGGCAGGCTGAAATGCTTGCAGGGCCACGCAGCCAACAGGACAGAAGGTGCGCCACCTTAGGGAAGGAGGAGGTCTGTGACAGAACAAGTCCACCCAGGTAACGGGAGTGGGGCCGGCCAGGGCAGCACAGCGGCCACTCAGCTGGAGGCCATACGAGAGTCCCCGCCAGTCCAGAGCCCTGCAAGGCCTGGAAACACACACGCAAGCTCCCGGGATTCTGAGACGCTGGAGGTGCAAGGAAAAGGAGACTGCAGAGGGTCAGCCACTGGTGTGGTGCTTAAAACAGCTGGATCTCACATGGCCTACTGTGTGGTTCAAATCCCAGATCTGGAGATCTGTGGTTCAAATGTGCGTGCGTGCCCAAAATCCCAGAAGGACGGAGGAGAAGGGATTGAGGCGTGGCCATCCCCCCGGAGGGTGCTTTCTCACTTTCCTCTCCCTCTGTCTCTGTCTCTGGCGAAGCATGCATGCCCAATAACCAAAAACAAAAACAAAAAAGAGGAGGGGGATCGCAGAGTGAAAATACCTTTTTAAGAGTGCTTCTCTCTCTCTCTCTCAGAAGAAATGAATAAACTTTTATTATTATTATTTTTAAATTTTGCTATAGGGCACGTGTGCTCACCAGAGAGAGAGGGAAAATGAGAAAGCAAGCCGCCAGGTCTGGGACTCAAACTGCGGTCGACCACATGGAAGTCCAGGGCCTTAACCACCATGCCACCTGCCAGCTGCATGAATGAGTGGTCTTTGACAAGTTTAGTGTTTGTAACTCCAGGTGTGGAACCTCACCAGGCCCCAGCTGTCGGGGTTCCAGGGCTCTGAGGTGACTGCCGCCTACAGCCGGCCCTCCAGCTCCCACCTGCTCCCTGCAGGTTTCTGGCAGTCCTGCCCAGCCGCTGCCCCCTGGCCTGGCCTCCATCAGCTGTGAACGTCCTCCCCATGACTGACCTGGGTACCAGGAGGACATGGACGAGCAGGATGCAGATGAAGATGAAGCCAGCACAGGCGAAGTCGTGGCGGGCCTGAGGGATGGGCGCCAGGCGGTACTGCGGGTGACATGACCGTGAGAGGTAGGCACTGCAGGGCCACCTGCTCTGACCCCTTAAAAATACCTCACATGCCCCCTTGAGTTCCAGATGAGGTTACATCTAATGACCTCCATTTGTTTCCATTTGGTGGTTTCTTATTTTATTCATTTATTTATTTATTTTTTGGAGAGGTGTTTGCTATAGCATGCATGCCCTCACTAGAAAGACAGAAACAGAAAGCGAGAAATCACCCCCCGGGGGGGTGGCCACACTGCAATCCCTTCTCCTCCATTCTCCTCTCAGGATCTTGGGCACACATGCACACACGCCTGGCATGAGTTTAAGCCACCGGGTCTGGAATTTGAACCATGGTCAACTACATGAGAGTCCAGCAACATAGCCATTACACCAACTGCTGGTCCCTTGGCGGTTCCTTTTTCATATCAAGAGGCAATACCTGCCCTCCCCCACCGTGCCCAGTTCTCTGACGTCCCTGAAAAGCTCAAGGCCCCAAGTCTCAAAGACTGGGCTCGCACCCCTAAGAGACCTCAGGTGAAAGGGTGAGGCCCTGTCCCCCTAACACTGAGTCAGTCATGGAGGGTCCCCACAGCTCTAGCGGATGGGCTGGGGGTGCGGGCTGCCCCGTGACCTGCACCCCTGTCCACCCTGGGCCTGGCACCCCAGTCCTCTGGGGCTCTCACCTCACGCTCAAAGCCCTTCTCCAGGAAGATGGACCCACAGGTGTAGAAGTCATCGGACTTGGAGCAGCAGGGCCTGTGTGGGGACAGGGGGAGGTAAGGCCAGAGACGCAGGGCAACCCTCAGGGGGCGGCCCTGAGGGAGAGGACAGAGCTATCCGGCTGCAGGCGGGCAGTAGCCATGGGCGCCCCCCTACCCCGGAGGAGGCAGGCAGGGGTCTGCAGGCCCACCTGGTGGAGCTGAGCCCTTCAATGGCCGACAGCATCTCGTCGTCATACGAGTCATCCTCCGACCGCCCCTTGGGGGATGCACTCCTGGAATCAGACGTCCCGGCTGCATGACCCCAGGGACCCCATGTCTGATAGCTCAGAGACAGTTCACCAGTGGGGCTGCCAGGAACCTGGGGGTCCTGGAGCCTTGTGTGTAAGGGTGAAGGGCTGGACGGGTCCCAGAGAGGGCAAGCGAAGGCCCAGCAGTGCCCCCAGCACCCAGCTGGCCAGCAGCCCTGCAAGAAGCAGAGGGCAGGTCTCCACCCCACAGCCAGGGGCTCTTCTACTCCACCCACAGGGTCAGTATGGAGACCTGGACAGTCCACCGTCTCCCCTCACACGGACCCTGCCCCCAACCCCAACCCCGGGAAGGTACATAACAGGAGCTCCATCCTGACCCTCTGCAAGAGCCACACACCAGGACGTCCTGTCCTGGAAAGGCTCTGAGCTGAGCCACAGCAAGCTCCGCAGAGGGCCCAGAGAGTCTAGAGCCTCTCGAGGCTGACCTCCTGGACAGAGGCTGGTCACAGAAGCCTGCCTAGGAGAGGTAGCTATGGCAGGGTTTGGCCAGCAGGGCGGCGCATAGCTGGGCAGAGGGGAGGGGACAGCACCCATACCTGTCAGGGGCCCGGTGGCGCCGCAGAGGAATGGCCTACAAGGGAAGAGAAAGCTATCGCAGAGCACTGGCCTGAGGTCTGTCCCTGGGCAGGCCACCACCTCCGCACTCCCCAACACTGGCAAGGAGCCATACGACTTTCTGAACTACAGCCAAACGCACTCTGGGGACCAGGGACACCCTGGAGTGTTCTCCGAATGCCTTCAATTCCCCAACGGTCACAGGACACATAGGGCAGGGACGGCAACCATGTCACAGGTGGGGTCAGGGAGGCTCAGCTCAGTCAGACGGGCCCCCCAGCATCCACTCCTCTGCCCCTGTTCAGGGTCCCCCAAGCCCTAGTTCTCTGGGCAAGAGAGCGACCTACCTTGGGCCTCCGCCCATTGGGAACGGGGGTCTCTCCACTGCTCACGCTCTCGCGGTGGTTGAGGTGTGCGAAGGGCCGGGCCGCCCCCCAGGACTCGAGGTAGCGGGTCATCCGCACCGACGCCCGCATCTTCAGGGCCGCGTCGCCCTTGGGCTTGGGGAGGTGCTGGCTGGGTGGTGGCGGCTGCTGGCTCTGGGGGCAGACACAGACACGGCCTGTCCAACCCCTGCCCTGTCAGCCCAGGGGTCACCATCCCCCAGAACACAACCCGGCCCCAAGAGCTGTCCAGTCTGGTAACAGGGAAGTGGCAAGACAATCCTGAAGATCCCCTGGCATCCAGGTAGCCCTCTGAGCGGGGCTGCAGGGGTCTCAGCACAGTCCTGTCCCTGTCCCTGCCCCCAGGCCTGCAGAGGCGGGTAATCACACCCCCATGCAGGGCCTGCAGACCTGCCATCTCCCAGGGACCTAAGTGGCTTACAGTCCTAAGTCAAAGGCTCCACTTGCCCCACAAGGCTCTTTGGGACCTGACTGTTCTGGGGGCCTGATGCTCACAGCCCTTGCTGTCACTCGGGTGTCCGCGCCCAGGGAAGTCACAGGCTTCCTGCCCACATGTGGCAGGCACGTGCTCATCCCTTCCTGTGGGGAGCAGCCAGGAGGAAGAGGAGTGCTGGCCAGCGACCAACAGCCCAGGCATCTTCGTGGGGAGCTCCACGCATGGTCCCCAGACCACAGTGTGGTTCCTCTACCTGCCACATGCCCGCCACGGCCCAGCATCATCCCAGGGAGTCGTGGCTTGGCCAAGCCCTGGATGGGTGTCAGCCCTGCCTCCTCCAGCCCCGAGCCCCCACAAAACAGCCTGGCGGGGCTCCTCAGGAGGGTGGCCAAGTGGGACTGGCAGAAGGGAGGGAAGACAAAGACCTCGAGGCCACCAGAGACAAGTAGGGGTCACCTGGAG